CAGTGGCGGCCTTAGGGGGTGGCGAGCAGGGCAATCGCCCGGGGCCTCGCTCTTGGAGGGGCCTCGCGCAACAACCAAGTAGAAAAAAGTTGATATTTAAAACTTTTTATTTTATCCTTGGCTATTAGTTATAACAATAAAATAAATTTAATTTATAGTACAGTATATATTAATATTAATAAGTGCCTACTATTTCAATTCACATACTTTGCACAAAGGACAAGGGCCTCGCAAAGTTCTGCCGCCCAGGGCCTCGCAAAGATCTGCCGCCCAGAGCCTCGCAATGGATAAGGCCGCCGCTGCCTTGAGGTATACTACTAACCTGCGAAGTCTCATCCCGAACTGAATTTCCGAGACCGTAAGGTCCCCTTATCAGCGTTGCCAGATCTGAAGGTTAAAAAGTAGCGTGGCTGTGCTCCAAAAGTAGCGGATTTGAACTGTTTGTAACCCAAACAATAAAAATAAATTATTTTGCAACTATGCACTTTTACTAATGAAATAAGTTTGTAATACACAATGTGTATGTATATATATATATATATATATATGGACATTCTGTGTATCTGCATCAATTTTCTCTAAATCAAAGCGAGTCATTTTTTTTAACTCTTTCCACCCTGTAGGCACTAAGAGGGCCTCTTTTTTGCAAGCCCATTATGGGTACGGCCCGGCCCACAATGGGGTGACTGGGTGGTAAGGGACGGGGCCCGACATATCCGGACGGACCCCCCTTAAAAATTCTGGGGGATTATTCGATCCCGGGTCCCCCAGAGCGGTAGGCTGCCACCTTGACCGCTTGGCCATCCGGCCGAGCGAGTCATTCATTTTTGAACTTAGAGACTTAGCGACTGCGGCTTTTGTTTTAGTTTTAAGGCCCCCTGCTTACATTGTATCAAAAACTGTTGTATCAAAATTTAATAACTTTTGGATCACTTATTGGGGGAGAAAATTGGCAATTCCAACAGGATAATGCCGCCATTCATGTATCAAAGTCAACTAAAAATTGGTAGTAGCGGTGCGAACTCAACAAATGTCTAACGTTGCCAGATCTAAAGTTATTAAAATGTAACAAGTTCGATACTCGTTTAATTCTTGTTTTAGTACTAAAAAGTACTAAAGAATTAAACAAGTATCGAACATGTTACGTTTCAGTAAAACTATCGTTCATTGCAAATAGAAATATTGAACAAACAAAACTTTAAGTAAAATAAAAAATATAAAAACATGGCCGACGGTAATACATTTAATTTCATTACACTTAATTGTATAAATAAAGTTGCAACGTTTAACAAAGACACCGTCTGTCCGCATTTCCAGTGACTGAACGTCTTTCTTTACTCTGGAGTAGGTGCAGAATATTTTCAGGACCCAAAATTTTCCCGAAAATTATTGCATACTAAATAGATTTGTCAGATGTCACGGATTTTTCCGACTGCCATGTAGTTATAGGAAATGTTTCTACAATGAGCTATCCTTTTCTTTTTTCACATTTTAAATATAATTCCGTCATTGGCAAAGTAAAAATACACATCTTGCATGTTCCGGAATTAAAGCGCCCCAGTATTTTTCGAAAACAACTCATTTTGTCCAAGATTTTATCCCCAAGGCAACCTTAACACTAGCAGACAAAATAGAACAATTTACGAACGAATTAATTATTATTACTACGTAGTTTGAAAAATTCAAATTAAATCATACAAATAAATAGATAGGATTAATGTATAATTTGCTGCTCAACACTAAACTGATAAATCAACGTAAAATGCTTTTTAATTAAAAGAACGCTTTAATTTAATCATGTGCTGTCATTATAGGATATCATAATACAATTTTAAACTTGATGTAACAAATTGATTAATAGAAATAAAATTGAAGTCACCACCGTTGCCTTGAACGACTTATTTTTAGCAAGAGACACTAATTAACGGACTTTTTGACGTCCAAAACAAATCTTGTCTGCAGAAAATGCTATTTCCATAGTTACTGTCACGAAATTTCACTAGATCTGATGATTTAGTGAAAACTTTAGGAAAAAGCCATGTTTTGGTGATTTTTAAAAAATTCCTTTCACTTTAGACAGTTGGGAAAAATATTTATTACATCACACGTTTATCTAATAGTTTACATTACTACGAGATCTCGAAAATCGCATTTGGTACTGTTCAGTAGGGGTGCAGAAAGGAAAATCAATCTACATAATAGATAATTTTTTATAATACTATATTTAGTAGGCCTGTGCGAATATTTGGAAACTTCAATTTTATTATTCGAAAAAGTTCGAACTTTTTATTTTTTTTTCTTTGTTGTATGTAACTCAGTGCTAGAGAAGTTTACTTACCGAAATTCAGGATCGGCGTTGTCTGGTCGTGTGTTTATGGTGTGAAAACTGAAGGAATTAAATTATATCAGACCGTAAACCATATAGCACGAGTCAATTTACCTTAATAATCACAAATATACATATCATTGCGAACTTTTAGTTTTTTGAAAAAATGATGTACCCAAGAACTTAATTCTTCAGGTTTAAATGGCATTCAACTGCTACGTAGTGCATGGTGGTAGCAGTTGAATACCATTTAAATCTAGGATTTTCATTCTGGGAGTGTGGAGGTGGAGTGGAATATTATTTTAGTGCGATGGATGTTATCTGCATATTTTATCATCAAATTAAATAATTTTAAAAATTTAGCGATTATTTTCAATAAGACTGTTTTTATTGTAGAACGTTCAAAAATAAATTAGATCGAAATTGTATAGTTAGAATTATTTTTCTTTTCAATTAAAGTAATTGTAATCATTAACTGGAGTATATTTTCTCAAATTATTCTAAAAACAATTAAAAGAAAATAAAATCATTTATCTATCTTTAGAAATTTTAATAAAGGTAATTTATAACAATTAAGAAAAATTGCCAATTAGTGTGTTCATATTTGGAATGAACACACAAAATGGTGTACATATGAACTGAATTCAAAAATACTTATAAAAAATATAATACTATTAATTCAATGAATTTGCATTTAAAATGGCAACACTACTTTTATCATAGGTGATTTAATTTCATATACAGGCTCGTGATACTGACTCAATTTATTACCGTTATTTCAGTTACTCAGCAATAGGAAAAAGCAACATGATATTTCGCCTATAACTAGTTTGCAGTAGCAACAGGTCATGTTGCAAATATCAATGATGAAATCTAAATTTCGCAATTGCTAACTAATCGATTTTTAAATTTATTTTAAATTAGGAATGACTTCAGTTAATAAAAATACAACTTTTGATGATTGTTTTTAATTTATGATAACAATTTATTACTTATTTTCGAAATAAAAACTGCAAATTATTAATGATATAATAACACACCTGATAGAAAAATTATATAAATAAAAACAAAACAAAAATTAAGTATATATATATATATATATTAAAACTTAATTTTTGTTTTTATTTATTTATTTATATATATACTGTATATAAATTAAATTGTTTTTAATTCGTAAATGGCAAATGTTATATAATCGTTTTAACTGTTTACAATAAGATAAACGACTTATCTCCGTTTTATCCTGTACTAGAAACTACAGATTAAGTGTATTAATTGGGAGTCGAAACCGAAACCAGAACCAGATTAGAAATAGCCAATCGTATTAGAAAGGGATTTTTCCCTTCTGCTATAAACAGATAATCGTACTACTGTTTGTTTTCAAACACAAGTTTTTTCATCAAATGTTTTCGTTTGAAAAGTGTCATTTTTTAATTTTTCGGTAATTTTTTTCCATTTTATAATTGCAGAAGTTTTCATTTAAACTTGCAAAGCTGGGTATTATATTAGATTGTCTAAAAACATCCATTGGAAGAAATTGCACGGAAAAAAAAGTAGTAGAAAATGTAAGTCTGTTTATAAAATTATAACAGTTTTTGAATGTAATTGTTACTATGAAAGCAAATTAGTTAATTCTAATAAATTTCAAGTTTAAAGTTATACAGTGTGATGAAAAATTAAAAATATGAAATTATTTGAAAACAAATTTAATAGTTTATTTTTTCCTGTTGCTGCTAAAAGTTTCCTTTCTTTTTTCCATAGGTCTATTGCATCTTTGCATTTTTATTCATGAAGCTAGTTTTAGTTTACATCTTTATTGAGATATCTTACAACATAATAAGTGATCCTATTTGTGCTCTTTTATAGATGCTAGTGATGAAAAACTATATTTCAAAACAAATGACAAATGATGTTCCAAAAAGTTTGTAAAAGACTTCATGAAAAAGTATAAAATCATTTATTTTTGGTTTTTATATTATGAGCAAAATATAATTATGTAAGTTAAACCCTAGCATAGATTTTTTACCAGCTTGTGTATGCACAAAGTTTAGCATAAGAATTGGAATAAAAATGGTTTAGCATAAAAATTAATCCAATCTGAAGATTGTAAGCTTCTGCAAACAAATCCATAGGAATGGGTCTGGCTGGACCAATTTTTACTACCAACATTAATTAATACAATTCTAATTTTAAATCATCCACTGACATGTAACACTATCAGATACAGACCAATAGACCAAATTTATAGAGGAAAAGAAGTATTGTTCCCCCTACCCAAAAAGATATATACAGTTGAACCCATCTATCTCAAATTTCATGGGAATGAGAAAAAAAATTTGAGATGAACAGGTTTCAAGATATAGAGGTTCCTAGACAGTAAACAGTAATATGTTTGATTGGGAGTATGGTATTTTATTAAGACAATAGTGAGTACAGTACTGTACATACTTGTATTAGGCATTAATAAAATATTTTTGATATACCTTAACCAAGGCCACTTGATCGCTTCGCTAGTAAGGCCATCCGCCAACTATCTCTCTCTATGGAACCGAGCGTATAGACGCTAGTTAATATTTTCTCCGCTTGTGGCGCTGACGATCGGTGACATCCATCGTCAGCGATTCAGGTGGAGAGTATAGAGGAGTTTGGAGACGTCGCTGCATTTAAATATTTTTCTCATTAAAGCAGGTTGAAAACTTTCGACAATCAAGAAATGAGCTGCTGCAAACGATGTTCCCTAGTTTGTGAAAAAAGCGAAATAATAATAACAGTATTTTTCACTTTATTTTCATAAGACGTTTTTAGGAAGAAATAATAACTGAGTATTATTGGCATGGAAAATACAAACTTTTTCACATTAATACTATTTAATCATCTCTTTTCGATTCTTAAAGATACCAGTAGTTAATCGTTAATGTAAATTTTTTTTTTACTCGAAAAGTATGCAAAATTAGCAAAACTAGGTTACCTACAGTATGCACTGTCTACTATAAAAATTTTCACATTTTCGGACCATATATGATAATTATTAAAATGTTGTGTATTAAATCTGTTATAAAATTATTACTTTTGTTAATCAAGACTGTAAGAATAAATACCGATATAACCTTTCGAAAAAATTTGCTTATTTTTTTGCAAAAATAAGCAAAGTTTTTAGTTAGTAAAAAAATTTCGAAAAATATGCACGGAAATATGTGATATTGAAGTTACCTTCAATATCACCATATTTACGAACTTATTATAATTAATATTGGAGAAGTACACAGAAATGTGAACAAAAGCAACATATATTGTTTTAAAGTTGAAATTAAAAGTATAACTATGGTAAAAGTAACATTGCTTCAGTTTACATCTCTAATATAAATAAAATTCTTTATAGAAAAAGCAAAAGCTTATTACATAAGAAAAATTAATTTATTGAATAAAGTGTACACTGTTTTTGACTGAATTTTACAGTTTGTAAAATTCAGTCAAAGACCAGAAATGTACTTAGCTTCCTCCTCATCAGAAATTTACAATATGAATTAGACAACATTAGACTTTTAATATTTTTCTAGAAATGGGCTTATGATGCAGTCTGAGAACTTTTTCCACAGTTTGACCACACAATGAATGTATTTATATCTATATACCAAGCTGCTGTTGAAGAGAAATCCCGTCAACCGTATATAACTCACGAATAAGTATAACTAAATACAACTATAACTATATGTAATTATCACAATTTCATAAAATAGCTATACTCGCACACAAAAGTACAAAACGACCAATTTACTCAACAGACGATTCTCACCGATAACTAGCGCCAAAATCTTTCGCAGCGGCAAAAAATGGAAACAGTGTGAATACGGCAATTTTCCTTACGGCGGACGGCCTTACTAGCGAAGCGATCAAGTGGCCTTGCCTTAACAAATAGTTTGTCAATAGTTTAACCAATAAGACACAAGCCAAACTTGTAGCCAATCAGAGAAAAGCATCATTAATTTCAGCTATATACTGAAATGCAAGAGTTGTTTTTTAACTGTAATTTATGCTATCAAAATGTAGTCATTGGAGTTTTGAATTTGTAATTTACACTTCAGTCCATAATTTAAAATATAGAGATTTTGGGAAAAAATTATTTGAAATAAACATGGAAAATACATTGAATTTAGACTGAAAATACAGGGAAAAAAATTAATTTTGAGATAAAGAGGTTTTCGAGATAAACATGGTTGAAATAGACAGGTTCAACTGTATTTCTATCCAGGGAGTTTTAGAAAAGTTGAAATAAATAGGTAAATATTAGAAGTGAAATCTTTATAAAGAAACTTAAAGAAACCATGATTGTAATCATGGCAGTCACTCTCAATTTTTTTGTGTTGGATCACTTTTTCTCTTTTCCTTTCTTTGCTATATAGACGCCGTAGTTTTATATTTTCACTTATATCTTCAAGTGCATCAACTGCTCTTTTCCTTTGCAAAATCTTCCATAGTAAAATATAAATTGACATCATGATGTATTCAAATGATACAAAATGGTAGGAATAGATTTGAATAGACTTGTTAATAGAACATTTGTAATTATTTAATTTTAATTACCTTAAATTGCCTCAAACACTATTTCAAGCAGATAGCTTCTTCAGGATACAAATGTTTTTGGTCCCTTGTTATAGTCCTCTTCAGGTATAAGGACAAGTTTGATTGAATTCAAAAGATAGATTAAATTTTCCAGGTGAGAGACAGTTCAGTTTCTATGCATTCAAAAAATTTTTTAAAAAGCTGACAGCCAATAACATTTAGGTTCAGCATGTTAAAAATTCAATTCCAATTCAAAAGATATGAAAATATTTCAAATAATACAAATTCAAGGTTTTTGCACAAAAGTTTGTGCACAACTACTTATATAGCATACACTGAGTGGCCAAATTATTAGAGACATGTCATACTAATAACAAGTTGGTTCTCCTCTAGCTTTGATCACAGCTGAAATTCTACTAGACAGATTCTACAATGTCTTGGAATTGTGCAGAAATAGTGACCTATGCTGACATAATACAGTAGTCCTAAAAACTTGTCACTTGATAACCTGGCAATCCGGATAACTCAGCCACACCCTGGCAGGGCAAAAAAACCCTAGTTAATTTTCATTATAGACAGCTTTATGCCTCATAAAGTATTTTTCTGAGGTCTGTCTTATCAGGTAAATTACTGTACACTGTGTATTCATTAATTTTCATTTTCATGTAGTTTTACTACATGAAAATGAAAATTATATGCCTTCATAAAGTACGTACTTTTCCTTTGTTTAAGGGTATTTGGGCAGTTTATTCTCTGTTGTATTCTCAAGCAAACAATACATACAAGTACAGTACTGTGAGAGTATAAAACGTGAGAATGAATTGACACGTTGAACTTAAGTGATTTCTACGAAGGGAGAATTTAGAACAAGCGTGCTTGATGGAGCAGACGCTTGGCAGGGGAAATCCACTAAACTCAATAGGGACTAGACAAAGACAACTATCCCGGTTTACAAAATAACCCTTTAATTTTGTCTGGGAGCATACAGTACTAAAATAATAATAATTATCATCTGCACATCGGATTTAACTAAATATCACGTACCTTAGAAAAAAGCCTTTAACCGATGCAAAATAAAAATTTAATAGTACAAACGTTTTCAGACCCCTCCTGGGTCCATCTTCAGGCAAAAATCGTTTGAAGATTTACTAAGTACGAAAAATATTCGTTTAGAACGATTTTTAAAACCGAAAAGATAGAACGGAATCACGTGATCTATCTCTGAACGTCGTGTCTTCTACGTCATACCTTCTACGTCATATTGACAGATATTTAAATATTTTCCATCGTTTTTAAAGATTTTATGAATAACTTTGTTGTTAAGACCACAAAACATATCACATAATTTTAGATAACCCATTTACTTCCTTTCTTTTAGGATTACGACGCACTTAAACCTCCTGTTGTAATAGGGCCTGCCATGCCAAAGAAAGAGAGATTTCATCTCTGGAATTGATCGGTGATGTAGTGTTGTATGCCTTGCATAATTCTATCTGCTCCAACCATTTGAGATGGTCTAAATATGAGGTGGTGGTGATTAATTTATATCCAGGCAGACTCATGTGACCCTGTCCAATACAAGATGGTTCAGGGCTCTAGTTAAAAGGGCTCACTCACACTCTTCTACTCAAGAGGCCTTAGAACAGGAAATACAATACCTATACGAAGTGGCCAAACAGCGTGGATACCATAACATCATACAAAAAATGTCACAATGGTTTGGAGAAACAATGTCTCCTTCTAAAAGAATTAATTCAATAGATGCTAACCAAAAGGAGGATAAATCGAGGGTGTCAGTTACTTACAATCCACTGTTGAAATCAATACATAATAGAATCGCACGGCAGAAAGGTATCTCCCTAACCTTCAGAAGATGCCCAACCATATTTGGTATTCTACGTAATGGAAAAGACAAATCTAAGGAAGAAAGAATGCCGGGGGTATATAAAGTGCCACTTAGGGACCATCATTTTGGGAAGGACTTAATTTACATAGACTCAACAAAACGAGCTGTTGGGATCAGATTGAAAGAACATATGCGTGACATCCAGCAAAATAAATGTACCACTTCCTTATCAACTTACGCGTCTGATCCAGAAGTAACTGCGGACTTTTCAAATGCTAAATTAATCACCACTACCTCATATTTAGACCATCTCAAATGGTTGGAGCAGATAGAATTATGCAAGGCATACAACACTACATCACCGATCAATTCCAGAGATGAAATCTCTCTTTCTTTGGCATGGCAGGCCCTATTACAACAGGAGGTTTAAGTGCGTCGTAATCCTAAAAGAAAGGAAGTAAATGGGTTATCTAAAATTATGTGATATGTTTTGTGGTCTTAACAACAAAGTTATTCTTAAAATCTTTAAAAACGATGGAAAATATTTAAATATCTGTCAATATGACGTAGAAGACACGACGTTCAGAGATAGATCACATGATTCCGTTCTATCTTTTCGGTTTTAAAAATCGTTCTAAACAAATATTTTTCGTACTTCGTAAATCTTCAAACGATTTTTGCCTGAAGATGGACCCAGGAGGAGTCTGAAAACGTTTGTACTATTAAATTTTTATTTCGCATCAGTTAAAGGTTTTTTCTAAGGTACGTGATATTTACAGTACTAAAAGATTAAGACACAGGAACTTACGGAGCCCAACAATCTAGTATACTGGATATCGTTAACATCAAATATCCCGACAATATACTGCTCAAAACTCCCGAAACATGAAGACAAAACATACCGACAAAATGGGTTTGAGGTAAATCTCTTCCTTTTCTTCCCTCTAGGCAGAAAACAGTTTGACAAATTCCGTCAATCTCCACACTGATTTGGTTGCACAGTCTTTACTTTTCCATCCAATTTTACCACCACCACTACTTTGCTTCTTCCCCTCCTCTCCTTACTTCTGTTCTGACTTCTCCTCGAGACACACCCTCCAATAAAACATTCACCCTCAGTTACACACCCCGGGATTACACAACTCCTCTCTACTGAGTCAGACCCACCATGTGGCAAAGGGGGGACAAGAAAAGACATAAGGCACAGTACAGTATTTTCTGAGGAAACACTCATACTTATTCTTTTTTAATCCCATTCCTGGCATTTTCACAAACTCAGCCACCTGTCAGTCCACATTAGGCCGCGTTTTCGGGACTCTACTGTAGTAGCTCTTAGTTGGTTCGAATTGGATTATGATATTTCTAAGCTTTAAATGGATCTTTTCATCTTGTTCCACAAATGCTTGATCAAGTGACTGAGCCACAAATGAGGCAAATGGAACTCAGTCATGTTCTTTGCACTAATCTGAGACCAATTGAGCATGGCAACAAGTGCAATATCCTATAGAAAGTGTCCCTCTGTGTCAGGGAACACTGTAGCCAGACTTCCACTGAAGCACAACCCCTTCATCCCTTCCAGTGTAGATGTCATTTACAAACATCCCCTTATAGAATTGAGTTCTTTCTCAAAAATTTCATGACCATCAGGTACAAGGATTGCCTCTTCTATGCCTAACAAGTGCAAAGACTGTCTTCCAGCTCTGCCTCAATTTTGTCGCAATATGACAAAGTCACATGAAGTCTCAAATTTTAATTTTATGTAAATTAATGGGCAGTTTCAATGGAAGTTGACTATAGGGAGGATAAAACTACAACTCTAGCAATAGCCTACAAGTAAAGGTCTGCTGTGTGGACTTCATCATTTGTGGAATTATTTTTGTTAATTAAGAATAGTTTTAAAGCTCTTTAAAATATTTATTTTAACAATAACTTCCTAGACATAATTCCTAGTACAAAAAAGAGGCTTAGTTTAAATGCAGAGATGTTCCATAAAATTGATACAATCGGTATATATATAAAATGTAAATTCCCTTAGAAACTGAATGTATTTACCATGAAAAGTCTAAAAACCCCTAAATCCAGTATTGAATAAACAACTTATTGACAGAACTAACGTTTTCAATCTTTTTTTAATGTTATCTTCAGGTTCTAAAGATGGAATACAAATCAAACCGAAAATCAAATTCAAAAGTATTCATCTGATACGTAATGTCACATATGCAAGAGCTGAACAAATAGTTAATTAATACAATAATTAAATTAATTACTACAAAATAATACAAATCAAGAATTGATTACAAAAAGGAACAAAACTGTAAACGTAAATGAATAAAACAGTGCAGTACAAATGGAAGATTATTATTTCAGTTCAAATAATGCTACCAGGCATGCAACATTGATGCTGTATCCCCACTGTTTGATAGCTTTCCTCTTAGTAATAGCTTTATATAAGTACAGTATCTCCAAATATCTAAGATGTGATGGAACTGTGGCTTGGTGGATAAGATGATTTTATTAAAAAATATTTCTATGTCTCTGTCCAAAGTAAATGAAGCCAAGACAAATGCTTTGTAATAGAGTCTTGGTGTTCTTTGGTTTTAGTGGCACCAATATATTCATTAGATGTCAGTTAGATGGGAATTATGCATAATATGTAATAAACTTGTCACACTCCAAAAGGATCCAACGATATCACTCTATATTCACCATTCATCCCTTGTGGGTTAACAAACATCAAGAAGTTCTCACCTCTGAGCATATTGGTCTGTATAATATTTAACATATGAGAAATTTGTTGAATGTACTTTGGTTTTGGTCACTTTCTCCTTCTCCTGTTAGCCATTGCTGAAGCACAGCACTGTTCCAAAAAAGAACCTGATCTTTTCTATATATGTATATTCTAGTGGTGTGCAATACTTGGAATAAAGATAAAGAGTCCTTTTGTTCTTTGATGGTTAAGTTCATTGAGAAGCCCAAAAAAAAAAGCCATATTAATTTTCTCATTCTTATATTGTGATGTGAAGTGCGAATAGAGTTACAAGATACAACTATATATAAGAAATATCTTTATTTCGCATGAATTCAGACAGGTTTTTAGGATGCCAACTATTCTCTGTCCCAGTACAAAAGTATAATACAAGCCGTACTACAATTTTTATCAAATTGTTATCACTTCTATTTTCATGACACAATAAATTCCCATCTTCAATAATTTTGCAATACATATATTAGTTGTGTAGTGCTCCACGACTAGAAATATAGTTCTCTGCATAAGGTATTTCCATATCATGGCTGTGATTGGCTGCGCAAATTGCCCCTTGGGTAAAGGAAGAACCCAGATGGAGGGAGTATTTAAAAAGGGGCACATTTACATGGAAGGCACATTTCCTTTTTTTGTTTTTCTGTCTTGGTTTGTTCGATGTCATCCTGAGATTAGGAGCGGTGATACTACTAAAGGAAGATTCGATACAGAAAAAACATTAAGGACAGTTCTGAGAATAGGAAGTAAGAAAAGAAGGACTGTGTATAGGAACAAAAGGATCGTAAATTGTAAAGAGGTACGATAGAAATACGGCAATTGTATATGTTATCTTGTAACCAATTGTATAAATTTGTTCTCTATCTTTCATGGTAGACAAGTTTGTCATCAGGTAAAATATATTGTTAATTAAATTAATAGTGTCAGTCCGAATTGGTGTTTTCTTATTGTGAAAGTCCTCAGTGCAATTCATTATCTTTATACTAAGATATACTTCGGTATATCATAGACAGTACAGTTGTAAGCACATAATTATGTGCTTACAACTAACTACAACTAATTACAATTAAGTGAGGGAGAATTTAAGAATCAGAAACCAATGATGGATAGAGGAAAGTGGGTACCCAAATACTGATGATGATCTTGGGGTGGTGGATTTCCAGAATGCTTGCTCTCTTGGAGTTGCTTGATAGTTCTTATTCCTTCTCAGTTTATTTTGATGGAAATCTTGGAGCTCAATAATCTTTCTCAATTGAATTTTTTTTGATTCTTTCATTCGACTTCTTCTTTGCTACGCGCTGCTGAAACGCACTAGAGAATTCACTCCTTCCATCCTACCTTGTCGGAGTCCCAGCCATTGTTCATACACATTGCCCTCAGGGCCACATTCCTCTCTTTTGTTCCAAGGGATTAGTCACCACCACCCAAGAAGAAAGAGTTGAGAAGGAAATTTCTAGAAGGGACAAACAATAGACAAAGGAAACAAAGGAAAGTATAGAAATTAAAATAAAATATATATATACTATAGCATACAGCCACAATATCTTTGTAGTTGTCACTTTTTCCTTTCCATCAATCAAGGTGTGTCCTGCATGATGGCATGGCTAGACTTATTTGGATGCACACCTGACAGAACAAGACCATTAGCACCTCCAGCAGTAAGTATGCAAGAGATGTTACAAAAACACAGGGTGAGAATAACACAATACATGTTACAAATATGGAATGGAAGTACAGTCAACCCCCCTATAACACTGTTGATTTTTCCGTTTTATATGAATTCCATGTTGTACTCTGTGAATGATAATGGGTATGTTCATAAAGTTGAATGAGTTAAACGAATTAAACGAGAATGACATCATCGTTATTTTTATTTCGTTAAATTTTTTGAATGATTTGTTTATAACTAAATGGATGTTTCTAAAATCGAAGGTATGAATGTTGCTAGTGCCCCTTATCTGAAATATTTTTCTTAGATTGCTTTGGGTGGACAGTTATTTCAATCATTTCACCTTTTAATTCACAATTTAAACACTCAACTAGATTTAGAAACATTGATATCATCAGGCATCATTTTCTTAACAAAGTAAACTAACTCTTTCCTTCATGAACTTCTTTAGAGTTTCATTTGAAAACATCATCACTGCAGAGCATGCGCACTGAACGAGATTACTACTTTTTGAATGATTCATTACTAATGCGTTTAACTTGTTTGACTTTACGAACATACCCAATATTGCCTGAAGAGGACAGTTATGTAATTTTGAAATTAATTGCATAAATAAACATTTTCCATAATACTGATAGGCAACTGTGTTGTTAATTTTGTAACAGACCATTATAAGTAACAGTTCTAAATGGCTTTTTTTCTGTAGGGTTGAACATAGTAGTGTTACCACCCGTCCAGTTTTCACCTGGACAGTCCGGGAATTGACTCACTGTCCGGGTGAACTATTAATTTTGTGCAGGAATATCATGCACAACCTGTCGACCCCCTTTTTTTTTTCTTGTACAATTCATATTTGTACACGTCTCCAATATCTAATAGAGCTAAGTCATCTGTAGTTGTTTTTTCTTAATTTAGTTACTTACGTTACTCCTACCCAAGTCTCCCTAGTCCCTAACTGTAACTGATTTAGAACCAGCATGCACTGTACGTTATTCTTTGCATTGCAAAATGACATTGTGTATGCGTCAGGAACTCTGTTTGAACAAACCTCACCTGCCGTCTAGGTCAGTGATTTTGAAAAAATGGCAACATTAGAACATAGTCTGATTCAAAAAACATTGTATTAAGACTATGATAAAGCTGGGCTGGTAGCTATGTGCTTTGGCACGGATATATGTGCTATGGATAAATGCATTGTATCTCACTTTGTGTAAGATGTGCATTAGAACAGTAGGAATATGCTGTCCAGACCAGGACAGAAAAGGCTGCTGACTTGTATTTAGGTGAGTCATGAGACATAGATGGGATTGTACAAAGCTTTACAATATATGCCTGTAGTGAAATTACAGTTGTGTAAAGTGATGAGAATGTCCAAAAAATGTACTTTGTAGTCACTACATTGCTCCAAACATAAGGTCAATCCTTATAAATTGTTACTGATGATGATAAAGTGTGGATGGGCAGTTCACAAGTCCAAATAATCAAAATATCCACATATCTGGAATAGATAAAATTCTGAAAGTACAGTAACATAGTCTGCTCCAGATGCTAAACTACAAGTTCACATAATGAGCCAGAGATGAGATTACCCATAGATATGCTCCTAGATTAGAGATAAAAAGAGCCTTCAAAGTTGAAAAAGGAAGAGTGACATTAAATCAAACAACTCTAAGATAGATGAATGATACTTGTATGAATGCTCAATGTTTGCTATAAGAATGGTAATTTTCCTGAGTGCTAAATGCTTCCAAACCATCATATTAGTCTTTTTCTTAAATAATACTGAATCCCAGTGGCGTGTCATCCATGGAAGCTGTGAAAGTGTCGCTTCCCTTGTATTTTCTAAAATATAAATACATATTGTGCAATTATTTTCATATTTTAATGTACTTTGAATTAATTAAAATTAATATTTTATTATAACCACGTTATGTATCTTATTACAAATTTCTTATACTACGTGTTGAAAAAATGATAAGATTGCTATTATGATTCAAATATAAATTCGTACATTATATTCCCAATGGAAGTATTGTATTGTCGAATACAGGACAGCTTCCATGGCGAAAATATGTGAATGGTATAAAGCAGCCAGTTTACAGGCATTCACACATGTGCTTTACAAAGCACCAACCTCATGCAGTTTAGCTGGTGAATGCTACACACCAAAATATCATATAATGCTTCCAATGATTCAATTCAGGGCAAGCACAGCTTCCTTATCATCAGATGTCACTGCATGCCACTGCTGAATCCATTCAATCATCCGGATAGTCAAAGTTAGTAGTATGATGGTTTGGGGACAGAGATAGAGCATTAGGATAGGTGGATTTATATAGATAGGTTTGTTGTTGTGTAATGCTCTTAACTACTGTTTTTGGAAATCTTCAAACAAGTCCTTTGAATGTCAAATGTTAATACCAGGGTCATGCCATGCTATGATACAGAGAGGCAGCACCATAAGGGGGTGGCATTTCGAAGACCTGCATCATGCTGAGAAAATCTACCACATGGCCCTGGTTAATACTTTTATTTGTTGTTTGCTTTGTACTGTACAGTGATACCACGAACTTATGCGATAGGTGGGACCGAGCAATAACCGCGTAAGTCAAATTCGCGTAAGTCGGGGTATAATTTCGCAATTTGTGTAAAATCCAAATCGAATGTATGTAAGCTAATAAATGTTCTCGTTAATCTTATCTTGTCTTTTGATTCGTTCACAGTTACAAGAAATCACCATATAGAGTCTCTCAAGTCTCCGTAGATATAACAAACACAGAAATAAATAACACAAAATAAATTGTAGCTATGTGTCGATTCTGCACAACACGTCCGAACATGTAAGCTGAACAAAAGTGTGGGGGGAGTGAGTAATCGAGAGTTATGTGGCGCTCAAACAAAAGACGAATAGACGAGATTTGAAATTTGCGTAACTCCAAGTTTGCATAAGTCAGGGTAGCATAAGTCGAGGTATTACTGTAATTTAATTTACTGGCATTTCTAACTTCAATTATATGCTAGATGAATTACTGTTAATAATAATGATTAATAAGTCTTCAGGTCATACATTTTTTTAGTTGTTTTAACATGTCTTTTTAATGTCAGAGCCAATAAAACCAGAATATCTCATAATTGTAATTTTATTTACTTATCTTGTTTAATGATACCATTTGGAGTATAGGCAAGCCCTAAAGTGATAGCACTAAGCAGATTCTACTGGATTTTAACTTTCAATAAAACAGTAACATGATATCATTGAAATATTTTATTATTTTATTTTTTCAATAATTATTTATTTATATGCTAATATTTGTTATAATAAATTTACTATTTAATTTAGAATTAATATTCAATATATTTTAAAACAGGAAATTAAGTCTATTGCTCATTGGATTGGATTCAATAACACAACTTTACAATATGTCAATCATGCTGTTGTAGAAATAAATGGAAATATATACTCTTTTGGTGGTTACAATGTTACTACTACTTTAGGTGAAATTCAGATTGAAGTTCACATATTAATAACAGGTGATTATTATTTGATTAACATCAAAATTTTACATATAAATGGAAATATGCAGTAATATTTATAATATTAGATATAATAAAATCATTATTTAATAATCGAATATGTAAGCACTAAGTTTTCACTCTATGGAGGTTCTATATTGTATACAAAATAAAAGGTCTGTATGAATCCAAAAGGAAGGGAACCACATTTGTTAACAAATGGAATGTTCTATTTAAGTATATATTAATTAAATATATTTTAAATTAATTTAAACATTAATTGTAATGTTTTTAATGAAAACCAATTGTACTTTATATTCCTGTAACCCACAATTTGTAACATACATGGCTGAAGAGAAACAGATAGACTGTCTGAAATGCATACTGTCATTGCAATAAACCAGTGTTCATCCATTTCTGTATGATTTCTTTGGCTGTGTAAACAGTGTGTGATAAGTCCTCTGTAGAACCAAAACTTAGTGCTAACATATTCAGTTATAGTAATATAAGGATAAAAAGCAAATCACTGATTTAAATCATTATTTATATTATGAAAATCTGAGGAGTTTTATTTATTTTTGACAGAATTGTTGATATGGAAGAGAATAGAATATAAAAGCAAATGGAGTGATAATGATATACCTTTACAATGCTATGGGCATACAGTTGTTGCTTATAAAAATAATGCCTATTTATGGGGTGGAAATGAAATAATGCATGATAATATTTATTGTTTCAATACAGGTGAGTGTATAATTTTGAAATAGAAATGTTAATTATAAATTTAATTAATGAATTAAAAATACTATTTTGGCATTTTATCCTACCAATCTTTTTCCAAATACTAATGCTATTGAATGCCAACGTGGTTGTGAGATCCAAATTTAAATCAAATTTCACCACTACACAAACTGTAGCAAAACTTTATTACACGTGGTCAGAGCGACCATGTCAAACATCTACATTCTCGGGTGATACACGGACAATACAATGAATTTCTACATCTACATCAAGACATGCGGCAAAATACGACACTACATCTAGACATGCGGCAAAATATCTCGAAAAGATGGAAATCCACAGGGCGCAGAAGAGCACGCAGTGTATCAACTATAGGGATGCTGACGGGCTTTCGTCTGCTTGGAAATCTTTTTGCAACGAATTGGCATAGATCTATAAAAAAAGGCTTAATCGGACTTAGGATGATCTTTGATAGATATTTTATTTTTATTTATTTTTATTATTATTTATTAAATACATTTTCGTTTATAACATGTTACCTTTTAATTTTTTACATTAACCATTTATTTGAAATTTGATTGCATAATTTTTTGAATTTCCCGTTTCGAATTGGAGAAATAACTGATGATGAACGCTTAATGTGTTTGAAAACGTTTTTATGTTATTAAAGAATTATGCTGGATAGTTGAATGGTTTTTTATTTTTAAGTTGAATTCTCCAGTAAGCAAGTAAACAATTATTTATAGAATAAAGGGGTTGGTTAGTAGAGGAGACAAGAAAACAATATGATAGAATATTGCAACATGCAAGTCATGTAATACTTAGTACTAACGTTTATTTGGTAGTTAAATACATGCTAACTAAAAGATATTTCTCTATGGTCAATATTTCTATTTTTTCATAAGAAAGTAAAACATGGCCTATTTGACAAGCGGAATGAAGGTGTAAGACTGATTAGCAGTGTTATATGAGGTTCTGGACAGGTCCAAACTGTCACTAAAATTTGCATCAAAATGTTTTAAAGAAGAGAAAAAATGAAGCTAGACATAGAATTTTTTGTTCAAGAACACGACATGAACTTTGTAAACAACAAAGGAATGTAAGTCCTAAGACTAAGATTGATCATTTCCAGTTAGGAGGTCGATTTAAACTTCGAGTTTGACCTCTCCTGCAATCCAAGTTGGGCTCCCATTACACCTAGTAACAAGAGATTGACCAGTCAGAGAGTGAGGATGAGGGAAAGCAACCAATCGGAATGGGCGATTGAGGACAGAAATCTATAAAACTCCAGCTTTCAAGAACAACGATGCACAGGCTGACCATGTGAGCAGTAGCAGAACAGAACACACAGTTCTCTTTACTTGTGTCAAGCCATCAAACCTGTGATGCCCATTATCCCAAGTGAAATCGTCATCACTCCATCCTCTACACAGTACTCCAAGAGCACGACTTGTGTCCAAACACCTCTCGCCGAACACCACCCCGCTGCTGCCTCGGCTGCCTACGGACTCACTCCTTCAGAAAGGGGCGATCAACTTGTTAAAGGATTATTAGGATGAACTTTGTTTCTTGAAAGAAAAGGACTAGTCATTGGCTTGTGTAAGCAAACCTTTAATTCCAAATAAACAGTTTCATGTAAAGGTGCTTGTTTCTGTGTCTCCATCACCACCACCCATATGCAAGTGGAACCTTTGCTGTTCTGATATGGAATTAATCCCTTTTGGCCCCCTCATAGATATCATTGCTTTACAACAAAATCCTGTATAACCTGTATGACATAATTTTTTGACATACAGGTAGCAAAAAAGTAATTGTTTCTTATAATAAAAATGAATAGAACATATTCTATGCATAAACAAAAAAATTTATTCTAAACACAAAACAACACATTATTATTAAAAGCTCACACTTTATGAAGGGTGCTCATTGAGGCAATCTATTTGCATTTATCATGTATGGTTTGAATGTCATTTGGTTTTATGTTACTCAAATCCATTCAAATATACATAAGCATTTGTGTGTGTGTTGTGTAATATGTATTGTATTGGAAATGTTAAAATGTAAAATATTAGTGAGTCCGCCAGTGGCGATCTTTGCTGATGCATCACGGGAACGGTACCTGAGCGCTCACTTTGGTTGTAACCCCGAGACAATAAACATAACATGGCGCAGTTGACAAACGTTTAGAGAAAGACGAAAGACTCTCCCGTACTGGATTCAACATGTCCACGTTTCAAAATCTTCCTCCTCCAAAATCGATGTTGGTAGAAGGTGACTTAGGAGCAAATTCGAAGAAATTTAAGAAAAGTTACCTACTTTATTCGACAGCGACTGAACTCACGACGAAGAACAATGAAACTCAAGCTGCCATCTTGCTCCATTGTTTGGGAGAAGAAGCACTAGAAATTAATCAACCACAAACCTTTACGGTGCGAAATTAAATACAAAAATCCGGTTAAAAAGTTCCCACAAACGTTTTCGAACCCACTTAGGTTCTTCTTCAGGTGAAAAA